TCTACGTTCAGCCCAGTGCCCTTCAGCCCAGTGCCCTTGGATTCTCTACGTTCAGCCCAGTGCCCTTCGATTCTCTACGTTCAGCCCAGTGCCCTTCGATTCTACACGTTCAGCCCAGAGATGAGAGAGCATCAGAGAAGAGAAAAAGTCATTCAGTTGATATATTGGATGCTGAGATGGAGCTTAAATAGAAATGCCTCTTCCTGATGAAAACTGATGAAGTCAGTGGAGTTCTGATGTTTAACCTTCCCTTACTGAGCGATGGATTGTGTTAAATTGTTAGTTGTGTTTTTTGTGTTCAAGAAGAAAGAAGATAACAGGAAATTTGAAAAATCATTCTGACTAGTGTGCCATGAAATCAGTTAGTTTTAGTGTGAATGGTGGTCAATAGCAATATTTGTATGATTTTTCAAATACGAATTATCCTTGGTGTACAGAATTGTATTTTAATTAAACATAAATATTATAATGTAGCATTATTTGTGAAATGACTTGTAATCCGGAGGCAACCTTACCAAATGTGTGCCTGAATGCTGGGAAATATAATGGGCTTTATTCATTAGACAAAAGCAACGCAAATTGTGCTAAAACAGTAAAATGTGGCATTTTGTACAAGAATGGTTTTGTAAACTATTTACACATAAATGAGTTTTTAGGGCCTCTGTTGTTTTTTTGCCTTACTTTTCAGCAGTGTTACCTTTACAAGGACCTGCGGGTTCATTTTCATACCTGTGCAGATGATGCACATCTGTGTCACTTCTTTCTGGAAATCAAAATTATTTGTATGCTGGACAGCTTGTATTAAAGGCATAACAAAAGTAACTGGAACACTGAACTTGAACCACAGCCGACTGCAGACTAGCTCGTGTGTGAGAGGAATGAACCATCTCTATATCAGCAGCTGTCAAAAGTATATATTCATTCAAAAGAAGAAACTAAAACAAGGAAATATGAGATATACGCAGATATACGGAACATAAACAAAGCAGCGCTTGCTTACCAATTTGAATATCAGTTATGTTGAAAACGTTCTTCAGTTTAAGCAGTTCATGTTGTTATGAAAATATAACGTAACATTAGAACAGGCTTCTGTCTGTGCGGCCTTCATTTACATGCTCGTTCTCATCACTTTGGCTTTTATTCTCCGGCACTGATGGCTTGGTGTGTCCTGGCCTTTAGACTGCCTTCTCCAAATAATAACACCCATCATGTGTGAACTGAGCTAGATAGTCGTTTTCAAGCCGAGGCATTTCTTTGAGACTCAAAACAGATGGAACTAGATGGCGCAATTATGACAAAAACCAATTATTTTACAATTATTAATCATTTCTATTAAAACCAGAATAAAAGATGCATGGCAAGTGAGTTTTTTTTTGCTGTTACAGTGCTATGCCACCATGAAAGTGTATAATTTGCAAGCATTTTAAGCCTTGAGAGAACGTTTAATCTTAATAGGAATAAGATGTTTCTGCCTTGCTCTGTATGGAGTTAAGAGTGGCGTCTCTCTCTGACTTTGTACCCAGGGTTCCTGAGTTTGTGAGGGAGAAGCGCTTTGGCAACTGGCTGTGGGATGCTCGAGACTGGGCGGTCTCTCGAAACCGCTACTGGGGGACGCCCATCCCGCTGTGGGTCAGCGAGGACTACGAAGAGGTCAGTGACATTGACATTTTGCAGCCTTTCAGTATTTCAAATCCTGATTATGTATTTGTAAATAGGAACCATTTTAGCCATTGTAGATTCAAAATACTTCATGCAAAAAACATAAATCACTGTAAAAATGCAGATAAAAAATAACCAAGGCATGTTTTTCCACACTGCTTTTAAATGAAAAGGATTTATTTATTGATTGATTTAAATAACATATAGAAACAAACAATAGTAATTACCTACAGATATTAATAGTTTTATTAAAACATTGTGAAACTTGTTTTTAGGAAACTTAATTGGAAAATAAAAAGCCAAAATTAAAATAATTTTGATTTGTAAGAGAGTTGGACAATAAAAAAAATCATTTGAACAAAAATCATCTTGCTATTTACGATATCTGACCTTGGAGCACAAAACCAGTCATAAGGGTAAATTTTTCAAAATTTAGATTCATACACCATCTGACAGCTGAATAAATTATATTTCCATTGATGTATGGTTTGTTAGGATAGGACAATATTTGGCTGAGATACAACTATTTGAAAATCTGGAATCTGAGGGCGCAAAAAAATCTAAATATTGAGAAAATCAGCTTTAAAGTTGTTCAAATGAAGTTCTTAGCAATGCATATTACTAATCAAACATTAAGTTTTGATATATTTACGGTAGACATTTACAAAATATCTTCATGGAGCATGATCTTTAATTAATATCCTAATGATTTTTGGCATAAAAGAGAAATGTATAATTGTGACCCATACAATGTATTGTTGTCTATTGCTACAAATATCCCCCAGCGACTTAACACTGCTTCTGTGCTGCAGGCTCACATATGACTTAATTTGATATTTAGAGCAACATCATAGTGAATATTCCTCCCATTAGCTGTATTTTGTGAAAGCAGCGTGAACATCTTCGTGTGAGTCTTCTTAGACAGCTGTCTCAAACCGTGGTAATGGTCTCTAAGTGCGTGTTTCTCTTAAAAGCTCAACTCGTGGGAAGTCAGAATTAGGTTGTTTGCGTCTTTGCCTGCTGAAACGAGCTGTTGGAAAAGAAGGACAGCGACCTGCTTCCCGAAAATAGCATGTAATGAGCGAGTCTCTGGAGTGCCACTGGCTCCAGAAAGAGCAGCTCTCTTGCTCTCTGCCGAGGCGGCTGTATCTGGGCCACATTACCTGAGCCCAGCCGGAAACCGGGACAGCAGCCAGCCTCGACACTCACTGTTAGTAACACACTTTATGCTAAACTTCACTGCCCACCTGGTGAAAAAAAATCAAGGTTGTCCTGCTTTTCGGCCCGTGTTAAGTTAGCATGAAAATGTGCAGATGTGAAATGCGCCTGTTGTTATATGAGTACGTGAATCTGCCGGATGAAAATAATCCCACAGACTTTCTTTACAGTAGGAGTCTTCTGACTAGTGCTACTAACTAAACACCTGCACCGATAATGACTATCAGATCAAGAACACCTTGTGGTGGTTTCTACTTGGACACAGTTCTGGCTGCATTAGGAAATATTTTCCTGTGCAGTGCATATGTCTTGTGTCGTAGTTTTGCCGTGGTGATTTCACAGCCAGATTTAGGAGGTTGTTCAGGTGGATGAGGTTCAGTGTTGGTTTTTCGTTGGTGTTTAGGTGGTGTGTGTGGGCTCCATGGCTGAGCTGACAGGAGCTAAAGTATCGGATCTCCACAGAGAGAGGTGAGCCGCAGAGACACCTGACCCTCACCTCATCACAGCCTCAGTGCTGCAGAAACCTGACTGAGCAGGTGTGTGCGTGTGGGTGTCTGTGTGTGCGCGTGTGCGTCTCTGTGTGCGTGTCTGTGTGTG